GGTATGCGTTGGAGAAGTGTGTTATCGGTTTGGCATCAGGGGTGAGTGCGAGTTTCTGTGTTTGTAGTGCACCGTGTCAGTATACTGGAGACTGCGCAGCATCTCGCACAGATAAGCGGGGACCACGCAGTGGTAGAGCTTCGGAGAGAGAACGCGAATAGGGAAGGCTCTCCGGTTTATAATCCGTGGATGTAGAAGCATGGTGGGGATGGCACCCCCGCGTTTCTCTCCTTTCGCCGATACAATTCCATTCCCCGAGCCGCTGTTCTCGTCCATCCCTTCCGTCCGCTTGGCGTTTGCTTCCTATCCCGCTGCGTCTTCTTCCCTTCATCACCCCAGTATCCCACCACCGTTGATTTTCCCACCACGTCTGTCGTTTCGATATCCCCTCTCTAACTCTTCGTGCTACTCGTCAAGCGGGGAACTCGCTATCGGTCTCCTAATGATTTTCGCAGTCGGGGATCGTAACACGTGCATGAGGAAACCGGTCCCGCTCCTGGTTCCGATCTCAAACTATACGACAAGTTTACATCCGTGTCGCAATCGCCTGAGATTGACTGTTGCTATCAGTGATAGTTGGTGATCCATTGACGTCTTATGGCAGGTCTGCAAAGAATCGATGATCTTACGTCCAGTGATTCGATTTTATTAGTTACGGAGGGCCGAGGACGATGAGAAGTCAGAGATCGTGTTACCTGAATCATCGATGATCCATCGTTATTGAGACAACTCTGGCGATTATTGCAATTGTGCTGATAGCTGTCACGAACCTCCTCGAGGTGGGCTTTAAATTTGATATGCGCGAATTTGATTTTGCTTGAAATGGTTTCCATCCGGGGGAACGGTGGGTCCGGTGACTTGTGACATTCGTTAAAGATCGAGTATTCTCAAGTAGTTATCGAGTTTTCATACAGTTCGTTTTGTGAAGAAGGTTAACGGTTACGGTGTCAATCCCGATATTAATTATAAGTGCATTCAAAGAATAGCGTGTGCGCTACGAGCAACACAACAGTAAATATTTGATCGAATTATGGTCACTTTATGCGGGAGCTAAACTAACAAGTCGTAGAAAATTGATCAATTATAGTCTATTATCCTTCTCTTATTATTCTTCTTATATTCTTTTCATTCGATGTTGTGATTGGTTAATTTTCTATGACTTTAAAACTCTACGACTTCTATTGTAGACTTCGCAATACAGTTTCGTTAAAATTTATTTTTTAATTGCGTAATCAGGTCTCGTCTTCTCCACTGATATTAAAACAGTTTTGCAAGTGAGATTCATTCTCCTTCAGTTGTTATAAACGTTTCACGGAAAGTTATGACAATTCCGTCATCGGAAGTCGTTTCCTTGTATTGTGTCGTTGTGATTTTTATCGTTACAACGCTCGCATTGGCGTTGCTTGGTGTTTCATCTTTTTTTTGTCTTCTTTTCTATCACTGTTCTATCTATTCGATGGAATCGTTTCATATATATATTTGTTCCTGATATTTGATTATCGAGTAAAGAACAGAAACACGTAAAATAATTCCTTTCTTGTGCACGCAAAAATGATGCTGATGCATGACGCACGAACGAAGATATCTCGGAATGAACTTCGTGGTGTCACATTATTAATTCAAAGCAATTTCTCTAAAATAAGACATCAGCGGCCGGGTGAGTTATAAAGAGTTTTATCTAGGAAGCAAAGCGACGTTATAATTGGATCTGGTCCACGGTTTCTTAAATGATACGATGTCGAAGACTAATTCAATGAATTCAATTATAAAATCTCGTTTTATGCAATAGCGATCTTTCTCGATTCGAATAAATTAAATTATAGATATAGAAGATACGAATATATCTAACAGTATATTATATACAGCGACTGATAAGTGTACTTATGACCAAAAAACTAATTTAAACTAATGTTTTTAAAGAATTGTCGTTCGTTAATTATTAAATGTAATTTATGTTAAATGTAATTTATACGATAATATATGTATTGATGTTAGAAATGTTTTAGTTACAACAACAAAAAATAGAAATAAAATCAATTTTGATTATAATTAGAATTCTGGTTATCATAATTGCATTTCTGATTCGGTATCTCGATAAAATATTTGATAAATTTAACTAAATATCTAATTTGTTCCTTTTTGATTGAATCAATCAGAATTCCAATTAATGTTCCTGAAAGGAAATGTTAATATGGATGTACTTTAAATACAATTATATAATCGTGTATAAAGTATGTTATTTTTTTTTATAATTATATAATTTTATATGATTTTATTTAATTATATATGAAATGTTTTTTCCCGGGGCAATAAAACTTTTTCTTAGTGCATGAATATTTCCGGATAGAGTTAGAACAAAGTCATGTTGAAATATAATTTGTCCGCTGTATTTTCCGTCGGATTGCACGTACGTGTCTTCGTTTGTCGGTTTTGTCAAGACAAGAACTCTCGTTGAAGAGCAGCGGCTAGGATAATCGTAAATGTCGAGTTGCACGTCGTCGGTTCGTGCGCGATGCAGTTTATGATAATATTTAATCCGGTTACAGCGAGACGAGTGTACGTGAAGTGAGCATACACTCGAGTATACAAGTTCTCGGAGGTGGTGTGGTCGGTACGACTAATCGATGATTTTGTTCCAACTGTGTCGTCGTTCACGACGTAATTCAATTACAGTCTCAGGTAACCGACGCTATGTCAGTCCGCGTACTGTTTCGAGTATTTTTTTACGAGTTTGCACTCATCGTGGGATCAATGCGCGATCAATCTTCTGCGCAAATGATATCACGGGGTGATTTTATCGCACGGATTTAACGCGTCATGTATTCGCGTGTTAACGAGATTGGTCGTCGATGTTCACGTTCGTCGATCAATATGTCATTCATCCGCATCGATGTCATTCATCGACAGTCTTGCGACTATGTAATTAATCAGTCGATTGATGATTCTTCCCGAAGTGTGCATTGTAAAGGAAATAGAATTTGTACGATTTAATCGTAAGCAGCATTGAATGTATTCGTCAAAATGTTCGATTGAAGTGCTTCGTTCGACATGAACTGTAGTCATTCGTAGAGGTCTGACATAGAGGTCTGGTTCTTATCGAAATATCGAAGTTTCCGTAGATCGGGTGTCGTCTCTTTGTAACCAGTTGACCATTTCCATCTGTAGTTAGGAAACTGAATTACGAATAGGGTATCTCGAGAAAGCATTATTTGGAGAGTATTACTGTACTCTCTCATACACTTGTACTATACGTGTGTACGATAAAACATTAAATGCCATGAGTCACAAGTGCCACGATCCCCCGAAGTGAATCATTATTGTTTGTGATACCTATATTGAGAAAAAAAAATAGTTGTGGCAATTATAAAGTACAATTCTAAAATTTAAATATTTGCAACTAGTTTTAAAAAGTAATAAGAACTAAAATAGTACCGAATATTATAAAAATATAGTATAGTACTATAAAAATTTAGTATTCAGTATTATTTTAATTCTTATTACTTTGTAAAATTAGTTGCAAATACTTAAATTATTAGAGTTGTTAATCTAGTAGTTGTCAAAACTATATTTTTTTCTGAGTATATAATTATCGGTATATTAAAACTTTGCTGATCGCGATCGCAGTTAATCTGTGCCAATCCTCGAAACATCACGGTGATATTGCAGAATTCGGAAAGTCGCTTCGAGCCTTTTAATTTTCTTTCTACGAAGACTTGCATCGAGGTAGCTCGTGACAGGGATAATCCGCATTTCGCTCTCTTCGACCAAGGAATTAAAAAACTTGTCTTCAGTTCCGATCGTAGAAACTATATGAATGAAGTCCAATATAGTCCTTCCGTTGTTTTGTCGACAAAACGATATCTGTAGAATTGAATCCAAGGAAAAAGCAAGCTGCTAACTACGTAGAAGATGAACGATCGAAGAGGAAAAGAATGTATGTGAGAAATTCAAATATCATTTAAATCGATTGGTTGAACTAGTGCGACGTTTTGCAGCTTCCTTTTCAAATTCTCTCAATGATTGATATATATACATATATTCATACGAATTGTGTGGCCTTTACTCACGGAAATTTACAAAAGTGTGATATACAAGTGGCAGAAGTAGTAAACGGTAACATAAACGATTCCTACAATTGGTGGATCTGATCGAACAAAAAGTAGATTAATTGAAGTGCTTCGTTAAATTGTGACTGAGGTGTTCTCCTGTTTCGAATCATTCGCGCGAGTGATCGCAGTGAAGTCGTGGTATCGAAGGATGGAGAGGAATCGGAGGAACGCGAGATCTCACAAACGTGGGAGGACAGGATTTGCGTATTCGTGCGTTTCCTCTTGCGAGGCTGTACGACGTGCTTCCAAACGTATATCCTCGTGTTAAATACGAGTACGTCAATTGATCACGAATCAGCAAATAAGGTGTCGTTGGTGATGTTTGCCGAGCGATGGGGAGATGTGTGTAATATAAATTTGCCAATCAACGCGCGAGAGAGAACGTGGAACGTGCTAACGCATTTTTCGCGCAAACGGATTTCCAAATCTCCAAATAACAGCTATCGATTAGAGACGTACCATCAAACCATCGATGGGACATCCACCAAATGCGAAGTAACGAAAATCAAAAAATATCCATCACACAAAAGGGAATTAGTTAATTTATTAAGTTTTAATTGTACTTAAAAATAATAATTATTTATAATTATATATCTTATTCTCATTAATCTTTATTACTTCTTGTTATTAAATTATAAATTCTTAAAGTAAAAATTTTAAATATTTTAAATTTTACATTTTACACTTTAACAAATTTTAATTTTACAAATAAGATAACTTTATTTATATTTATTAAATTTTTATATTATTAAATTAATTTTAATTAAAACCAAAGTATATTATTGTTAATAATATTATTGAATAATTAATTAGTCTTTTCTAGTTGAAGTAAAACTTCTAATTCATTATGAAAATTATTTTATGAAAATTATTTTATCCCATTGGCTTTTATTCAATCGTACGACTTACACTTTTTAATCGAGTATCCAATCGAGTAATCTGGGCATTGTGTGTGGAAATCCCACAAGGCAGAGTGTCACGATGGAGTGACTGTATCGAAGGATTGAAAGTTGAATTAAAAGTCAGAGGAGATCGACGAAGTGGAAGTGACGTTCGAGCATCGCGTAAGATTCAACTAAACGACACAGGGAATTTTGGGATCACAGTGGTTAATCGTCGTGATCGATCGAGCTTTGAAACGTCGCGGAGTGAACTGAACGACGTGTCGAGGGGCATCGGAAGATACGAGCGGGAACCATCCGGAAAAGCCATCATCAAAGAGAAAAGAGGAAAACGCGAAGACGAGAGGTCACGTACGCTTGTATTTTTACCCTCGCGGGAAATCAGCGTTCGTGGAGCGGAGCTGTCGAGAGTACACAGGATAGCGAGATAACGTTGTCGTTCTTTATCACGGTGGTTGGCAAATTGATAACAAGTCGATTGTTACGCCTTGTGGAAACGAACCTCGTCTGAACAGAAAGAGAAAGACAGCGCGTCAAGAAATACGTTCCTCGAGACGACGGAAAAACGCTCTTCTCCCGGCATTCATCGACACTTGTTTCAACTACATGCTCGGAAATTATTTTCGAGCTTCATGGCACATATAGCAATGTGTTTTCCTGCGCTGTTCGCTGCTGATCAAAAGAACAGTTCGGTCATCGTACGAACGTGCAGTGAAGAAAGGAGCTTGCTTTTAAAAATAGAAGCGTAAAGACGTCGTGGTATTACGATAGAAAATTGCGGGCAATCCGAAAAATTAGAGAGGCTGAAAGGTGAATTCTGAGAGCAAACGAAAGTAACGGCACAAACGCGGTAAGAGAAAGGATATAAATTTTAAATAAGATCTAACTTTTTCTCTTCGCTTTCTTCTTTCGGGAACTTTCGGCGCGGCAATTTATCCGCGCATCGCCCTTCATAGTGGCTTAAGGATATCAAAAGGGATTCAGGATGTGCCTCGGCTTCTCTCGCAAGATTGTCAGGAGTAACAGAACCTTTATCGAGAACAGAGAGAAATGAAGTTGTCAGTGTCGGCTTACACAGCTCAGGCCAGTGCTCACAAGAATCTTTGCAGCTATCATCAACAGCGGAGCTACGGGGCCACGAATCAGGCATCCACGGCCCGGATCCCCTCAGACCTCGCGACGATCCTTCCTGCTCTCAAGGTTTGTACATCATGGCTAGTAAATAAATAGAAATAAAATATATTCTGCTATAGCTAATGAAATATATATATATATATATATATATATTATATTAATTTATGAAGATTACTGATTAAGCGGGTAAAATCGATGCATAAGACAACTTTAAGATATCTTTCAAAATTTTTTATTAAATATTTTTAAGATATTTCTTAAATAATTCTTGAAAATACCTTAAAGTTGTCTTATGCATCGATTTTGGACATTCTACTCATTAGATACTCGTAATTAAGAAAAGCTTAAGAAAATAATTTCGACTTAGTCCATTCTATCTGCTTACAAGCGATGTACTAAAAAATTTTGGAAGCCTCGTATACATTAATTGTACTGTAAATACAATTATAAAACTAATAATAAAAAATTTAAAATTTTTACTAAATATTTTTATCATGATTTTAAGTATTTATATAATGAAAAATTATATAATAAAATTTAATACATAAATTTCTAGATAAAAATATTTACATTAATAGTAAAATATCATATTTTGCCTCGATAAGTACACGAAGAGTCGTCGCTGAGTATAATACTGTTACCCTGGAAAATTTAGTCAAAGAGAGGAATGAGGGAAAATGGAGAGGATATGAAAGGACAGTTAGATCAAACTGACTCATTGTCAGTCTCATAGATATACGCACAGAGGCGAACACTTGTGAGTCGAACGCATCTTTTACGGTCTCGGAATATGGGTCAACGTCCCAAAAGGACGCTATGACACCTGTTTCGGTGTGCAGTGCGAATGTCAGTCCTATTTTTGGGTCAAAGAATCCTTTAATCCTTTTGATCCGGGATCACATACAATCTCAGGTATTAAAGGAATGGGATACAAGTGGTGCTTTAAATAAATTTAAACTAAGAAGGATATTCATTTAGAATAAAAATAAAAAACTTAGACACAATATTACAAAAACAATAGGCAATTAAGAGCTGATATACAGTTATTACTATTGTACGTTACAATTCTTCTTTATTATTCATCTGTACATATATTTCCGATGTTTCAGGTGCTTTTTTTAAACATCTTCGTGGTATAACATTCAGCATAATATTCCAAAATTTAAATGCGATTATTGTGAATGTAGGCACTAGGGCTCGGTAAAATAACTGATACGATTTATTTAAAATAAAAAATATAAAACAGATTCCAAAAATTTTTATTCCTTATTCAAAATATTAAATAAGGAATAGATCACAAGAAATTATTTAAAATATAAAATAAAAAATAGAATCCCAAAATACATTTATTTATTTAAAATATAGAATAACTTTTATTTAAAATATAAAAACTTATCTTTTATTTTAAATAAGTTTTTGAAGGCTATTTCTCATTTTAAATAAAAAATAGATTTCGGAAACTTACTTAAAATATAAAGTTACAAATATGTATTTTAAATAAACGTTTCAAATAGTATTTAAATAAAAAATATTTTGATGATGTTGTTATTTGAATATACAAATACATTTCTAAATATAACGTTTCAATTTTGTTTATAGCTATAGACTATAATTGATACTTAATAATATTAACCCCTTCGCGAATAAGGTGGAAAATTAATATGATTATATGTGGGTATATCTCGCACTCCATACGTACAATATAAATATATTGTACTATAATTTAATTATTCATTGTCACTTTTATCGACGGATTGATAACATAACTAATATAACTTATTTAAAATAAAACATATAAAATTGGTTCCAGAAAATTATTTAAAATTCACAATCGATAAAAAACTGATAAAAATTATTTAAAATAAAAAATATAAGTTCCAAAAACTTATTTAAAATATTAAGTAAGGAATAGGTAAAACAAATTATTTTAATAAATGCTTTATAACTGATTAATTTTTTTTAATTTAAAATGTATATTTTAAATAAATTTATTTGAATAAGACCGAGCCCTGGTAGACGCAATTAGTCAACTTCGAGTAGTTCTCCATTAGATTACATGAATGATTCTTCTTAACAAATCAATTTATAAGATCTAAATACAAAATCTCATTTTATGTTAACAAAACCGCTTTCTATATTTCTGCATTTATAATTTATTCATAATTTAAAAAAACTCACTGGTTGTACTAATAACTTGCCTCTCCATTCTATTACGCACAATTAAAATTACAAATTATATAAACTTTGTCGCTTAGACATGTGTCTTCGTCCGTGTCTAACGTAACGTTTAAAATTATAAACTAATGTGTAGGTCAATATAACATTGAGTTAAAATAAAATAAATACAAAAATAACGTCAGTTGACAAACATACCAATAATTTAATGAACAAAATATATAACATCTTTTTTAAAAAAACATAATGTTAATTATTAAACTGATTGAGAATTGATATATGTAATACTCATGATGAAAAAATTCCGTATCAGTCTGCAAATTGATCGCATTCTTTTGTAATTTTAGATACTAATCTTTTCCCCAGATATCTTTCTCTCTCTCTATCTATCTTTAATGTTCTTCCAATCTATCGCATGATTATGTTGCAATCCATGACACATCTAATATCATTATTCTTGCGTAATTGGCTCTTATGTTCGTTAATTCTTGTACTCAATTTCCTTTTAGTCTACTCAACATAAGTTGCTTCACAATCTTTACACAGTACTTTATATACAATTGCTCATTAATGGAAGAACATCTTTCTGAGCTCTGATCATACTTTCCAATTTATTGAGGCCAAAAAAAGCTAAGTTTAAATCCGAGTCTTTAACTATATTAATAAATTTATTAGAAATATTCGATGTAAGAAATAGTGAACCATTGTTTTTTATTATAATAATATCTTCTGAGTTATTATCTTCTCTTGTCTTATCAACTTAGTTGTTAATAATTCTTTCGTTTATTGCAAAAATAAATTATAAAGGATAATCATTACCCAAAAAGATGTCAATTATAAAAGAGATTTTTATAATGGTATCTAGGAATGTGAAAGAAGTATTGCTCTATCTACAATATTCATTATAACACCTTTTTTTTCTGTAAAGAAAGACCTTAATAATAACTGTATACTAGCTCTTAGTTACCTATTGTTTTTGTAATATTGTTTTTAATATTGAGAGCTCGATTAATTTATACACTGTGAAAAAGCTTAGATTTATTCATAAAAAATAAAATTTAAGCTAAATTTATAAATGAGTAGATAATCATTATTCTTAGAAAAAAGTTTTAATATTCCTTATTTGTTAGTCAATAAAAATTATTATTATTAAAAATTATTATTATCTATCAATAAAGTAATAAAAAATAGTCAATCAAAAATTTCCTTCATTGTTCTATGATCTCCAGAGGGAAACGAGGAATAGAAAGGAAAAGGAGATTGTGGCTCTAAAGATTCAAAGAGGGTTGAGGAGTCTGGAAAAGGAGAGTTATCGGGGGGGAGATCATGAAAAGTGGGGGTATGAATTTCAAATTTGGAGGATTGGGAATACTTAGGGTTAGTCGCGGCTCGACGAAGTTGTCGTGAGCTTATTTAGAAACTTATTGAAATTCCCTGTTTCTATTAACATTATAATGAGACGCGATTATTAGAGCTGCGATTTTTTTCACGTTTCCTACAACCCGCGCGGTGATTTTTGACGATGGAAAGAGAAAGAATCGACGAAATCTTGGAGCAGATGAACGCTCAAGATTCACGATTGAAAGAGAAAGAATCAACGAATACCTGGAACGGAATTCTTTCTCTCTCAATCGCGAATCTTGAGCGTTCATTCGCTCCAAGTATTCGTCGATTCTTTCTCTTTCAATCGCGAATCTTGAGCGTCCATCCGCTCCAAGAACTCGTCTATTAACCGAACCAGCTTTTTACTGTGAAGCTCAATGTAAGTCAACTTCTATACTCGGTCGTATAGACCAGAAATATATGTGACCACAGAGTAACCCGATAAAGAAATCCGAACATTGCGCCCTGGATGGGTGCTGATAATCGATAGCGCGTTACATCTGGGGTGTGCGGTTGATTGGATTGGAAACGGGTGTATCGGCGAATGAACGCGACTACAGAACATCTCGCTTGGCAGAAAGCGAATACCGGATAAATTAATGCCGCAAGCCACACACTGCAACATACTGATGTTCTCTCTCTCTCTCTCTCGTGCCGCGCACTCTTTAACCTTACCGTTAATGTACCACTCTCCAGAAATAAAGATGTCACGCGCGGTCCGTGCGCAGCGCAGCCCAATTACCGCTGATTGCCCTTCGAACGTTCGCGCACAAAGTGCCCCTGCGGGACGAACGCTTCGAGAGAATCGGGACAAGCGGTTCGCGTTATACATCGCGTGACACGGACGATGCGACTTTAATTACGCGTATTTACTTAGGTTGAAATAAGAAGACTTTTAATAAAAATAATTTTAAGAAAAATTAATTACTCTATTATTTTTTTTTTAGTTAAAAATTTATAAAACATTAATATTCTTTTAATATTAAACGGACAGATCGTCTCTTTTTAATAACTGCTAACTTTCTGACAAATTATCTAAAGTGTATAATGATTCTCACGCTTTAATTTCGCAACCATTTGAGTGTAAATATAATATAATGTTCATGTGGGAGTTTTAATTAAAGGGCTTCTCTCATTTAGCACGATTCCGTTACATGTGAGACTAATTTCGCCAGATATCGGAAAACCTTGGCAAATCGATTTGTCAATTGCATGTTGTTTCCTTGAATTCTTATTTTACATTCGTCGACGCGACGTCTAATTGTCAGGTCGCGAGGTCATTATTTCTAAAGCTCTATTTTAATAAAAGTAGCGCAAAAGTCCATCATGTTTGAAACTAACAAACCATGTTATATTAAAGAATTACTAAGTGCTTATTGAACGATAGACTAATTAGGTAGAAAAATTGAGTTTTTTTCTTTCATCGCTAATATCATAAATTATTTTGCATCTGCAGAGCTAAAATAAGAAATTTCGATCGCGCATCGCGAGATTTATTTGAAGAAAAC